TTGTTATATTCGGATGCCCCCAGGGGCCGCAGGAGGCTGGACGGAGGAGAAGGGAGTGGCGGGTGATGCGTTGTGCCCTCTCGCCAGCAGGCAAGCGTGCACCACTCGAACTGGGGCGCTAACGAGTGGGAGGCGCGGGCGGCGGGTGCCGACGAGCAGCCAGGCACGGCGGAGCACAGCGAGGCAGATCTGGGCGTTCAGGGGCAGGGTGAACAGACAGCCGAACTCGCCGAGCAGACCGCCGCGCAGGACGAGCCGCTGCGCACCCCCCCGAGCGAGCCCGCTGAGCTGACGGCCGAGCAGGGCATCGCAGACCAGCACGCCGCCGCCGAGGGCATCGCAGACCAGCACGCCGCCGCCGAGGGCATCGCAGACCAGCACGCCGCAGCACGCAGCTCGCCCCCCGCCGAGGTGCTCTCGCCCGCCTCCGAGGTGACCTCCGCAGTTCTGTCTCCAGCCAGCTTGGAGGATTCCAGCTCGGAACGGTCAGTGCCAACCGAGCTTCCATCGCCAACGGAAGTTTCAGTGTGCGGATCGTGGACTACTCCAGCTGAGCAGCCTGACCAATAGTCAATTAGCATCCGCGCGCGCCGAAGCCCGCTAGCTGACAATGACTGTTGAGGGCGCGCGCCCTGCCTTCGCAATACGCATGTGTCTCTAAACGCATTAATGTTCGTCGGGGTGGGCGGGGTGTTGGGGGGCTTCAAAAGGGCCCCAGATGACCCGACTTTCTGCAGCCATACTGCCACCCGCTGGTTGTAGAAATTGCTGCCAGCTTGGAGCTTTCCCTGGGCCCTCTCGGGGCTTCCTGGGGCGCTCTGAGGGGCCCCAGAGGGCTCCGGGGGGAGGGGGGGGGGGGGGGCAAGATCGCCCCACGATGCTCCAAGAGGCACCCAAGAAGCCACACGAGGGCACCAAGAGGGGCCCAGGAATTATGTACCAGCGGGCCCTCGGTTGGTACATAATTCCTGGGTGCCTATTGGGGCCCTCTTAGAGCCCGTTGGGGGCTCTCTTGGAATGGCGCCCTGAGGGGCTGCCTTGAAGCTCCCCTGGGGCCTTCTCGGAGCCATCTTGTGGCCATCTCGGATGCGGGTGCGAGCGCTTCTTCCCCCTTTTTGGGCGCGGAGGGGGGCTGGTGGTCTTGGACTGGGCGCCTGCCCCGCTGTTGAACAGGAGCCCCCTCCATCGGCGAGATCAGCAGCCCCATCCGTGCAGCTGTTGTGGGCGCGCGGGGCAACCCGTATCTTTCCGACAGGCTCGCCGTCGCTCGAATCCCATCCTCCGCTGTGCATTCGCCAACCCACGCTACAGGCTCGCAGTCGCTCGATCCCCCTCTTCCGTTGCATTCGCCAACTTACGCGACAGGCTCGCCGTCGCTAGGAGGAGGGGGATGGGGGGGGAGGAGGAGGAGGAGGAGGAGGGGAGGAGGAGGAGAGGAGAGGAGGAGGGGGAAGGGGAGGAGGAGGGGGAGGAGGGGAGGAGGAGAATCTGAGGCATCGAGGATGATGAGGGGAATGAGGAGGAGGAGGAATGGGAGGTGTGGTCGCAGAGGAGGAGGGGGTGGGGGGGGGGGGAGGTGGTAGGGGGGGGGGGGGGAGAGAGGACACTGATTTCTGAGGATGGAGGAGGAGGGGGAGGAGGAGTGAGGAGGAGGAGGAGGAGGAGGAGGAGGAGGGAGGAGGAGGATGAGAAGGAGGAGGAGGAGGAGGAGGAGGAGGAGGAGAGGAGAGGAGGAGGAGGGGGGGGGGGGGGATGGAGGGGGCGGGGGGGGGTGGCGAGGGAGAATGATGAGGGGAGTGAGGAGGAGGAGGGGGAGCATGATGAGGGAGGATGAGGAGGATGAGGATGCGGACATGATGAGGATGAAGTAGTAGTAGTAGTAGTAGTAGTAGTAGTAGTAGTAGTAGTAGTAGTAGTAGTAATAGTCGTATTAGCAGTCGTAGTCGTAGTCGTAGTAGTAGTAGTAATAGTAGTAGTAGTAGTAGTAGTAGTAGTAGTAGCAGTAGTAGTAGTAGTTGCAGCCGTAGTAGCAGCAGTCGTGATAGGAGGAGAAGGATGAGGACTTGGAAAGCACAGCCCCCGAGAGGCACCCACGCAAAGGTTCGCAACACTTTCCAGCGGATGGGGGAAGCCGAAGCCCGAACACGCAGCGTTTTGGCTCGACCGACGGCTCGCCGCGGAGAGGTCAACGCCACTTTTGTATTTTGTCTGCCCGACCGAGCCCTGCAATGTCAGCCACGCTGGTCGAATCGGCCTTGGCCGCCCCCGCCCCCGCCTCGCCAGCGGCCTCCGAGGCCCCCGCGCTGTCAGCAGATGTCGGCGACGCAGCCGAGAGTACGGGGGCAGCTAGTGTGCCAGATGGCGCTGCGGCAGCTTGCTCGGATGGCAAGGAGATGACCGTGCTGTGTTCTTGTTGCAGGCAGCACAAGCCAGCCTCAGAAGTTTACACGCAAGCTGCCAATGGGCTCACGGGATCCAAATGCACCGCGAGGTGCAGGAAGTGCAACTCTCTGAAGGAGCGGATCCGCCGCGTCGTGAAGGGGGGGCACGTTACCGATCAAGCGCTCGCTGACCTGGATCCCGACAGCAGGGCCGACCTCTTCGCGCGCGGCGCGGACTTGTTTTCGGATGACCTGAAGAAGCTTCTCACGGAGAAGGTCACCAACACCACCGTGTCAAAGGCGGCGCACCGCATGAAGGCAGTGGGTGGGTTCGTGCGCACGGCTGAGCTGAAGGCGAAGATCTTGGCGCAGCCTGGCGGGGAGGCTCGGTGGGCAATGTGCGAGCTGAATGGCACCGCGATTCGGCACGACGTCACGGGCGAGGAGCTCATGTGGAACCCCGAGTACTCGATGGAGCTCAGCAAGTCAGAGGAATCCGAGCTCGAGAAGGCCCGAACCCTTGAGCAGTCGAAGACAGCCAAGCCCCCCCCCCAAGAAGCGCAAGACGGAGAATGCCGCCAAGGCTTCCGCCGCTACCCCAACGGATCAAGAGGCTGATGCAGACAACAAAGTGAAGGTGGAGTCTGCACCTAAGTCGTTGTCCGCTGGGCTCATCAAGCGCATCGCCGCAGCCATCCCCAAGCTCGAGGCTGACGTCCTGCAGCTCAGCGCAGTCTTGCTGCAGGTCACGGCGCCTGAGAACGTGGATAACTTCGCGCCGAAGAAGGTGAAGGATGCCACCAAGGTGAAGAATGATCTCGCGGCGTCAATCGTGACGCTGCAGGGGCTCGTGGACACGAAGACTGGCAACAGCAAAGATATCAACGTGTTCCTGAAAAGCGTGAACGGCATGAAGGCCAGCGCCAAGGCAGCGAGCGCCGAGTTCAAGAAGAGCATCGACGCCATGCAAGCCGAGGCCGAGGCCGAGGTCGTGGAGGAGTGAGCAGTGCGCAGTTCCATCGGACGCTATGGCAGCACGGTCTGAGCTGGGGAACAGCTGCGCCGCGACTGGGGTTGTCGCCAGCGCAGGGTGATCTTCAGAAGATGCATTAATCGGCGCTCGATCTCAGACGTAACATTGTTCATGCCAACTCGGCTTCGAGCTAGCACCGAGTGGCATGCGTGCATCTGCGCGCCAGGAAAAAAAAGCAAGCGCCCTGCGGGCATGAGGTGGGCACGGGGTAGGCAGGGGGTAGGCATGGGGTAGGCAGGGGGTAGGCACTGGGTAGGCACGGGGTAGGCACGGGGTAGGCATGGGGTAGGATGGGTAGGCATGGGTAGGCAGGGGTAGGCATGGGGTAGGCAGGGGGTAGGCATGGGGTAGGCACGGGGAGGCACGGGTAGGAATGGGGTAGGCATGGGGTGGGGTAGGCACGGGGTAGGCACGGGGTAGGCACGGGGTAGGCACGGGGTAGGCATGGGGTAGGCACGGGGTAGGCACGGGGTAGGCATGGGGTAGGCATGGGGTAGGCATGGGGTAGGCACGGGGCAGGCACGGGGTAGGCACGGGGTAGGCACGGGGTAGGCATGGGGTAGGCACGGGGTAGGCACGGGGTAGGCATGGGGTAGGCATGGGGTAGGCATGGGGTAGGCATGAGGTTGGCACGGGGTAGGCACGGGGTAGGCACTGGGTAAGCATGGGGTAGGCATGGGGTAGGCATCCCCGCGCGGCCCTGGTACCGGATGGCCGGCCCGAGGGTGGATTTGAGAAATGATGGCTCGAACGAGGCGGGCGAGAAAGAGGAGCAGGAGAAGGATGAAGAAGAAGAGGATAAGGAGGGAGGAGTGCCCCGCCGCGCCCGCCCCCGTGCACCCGCCTGCCACCGCCCGCGGGCCTGAGGGCTGGCGCGCGCCTCTCTGCCTCTCTGCCCCCCCGCGGGCCTCCCTTACCGTCCGTGGCGGACGGTAAGGGGTAGGAGGATGAGGAGGAGGAGGAGGAGGAAAAGGAGGAGGAGGAGGAGGGGGTTGGGGAGGAGGCGGAGGAGGAGGAGAGGGTGGACGACGAGGAGGAGAAGGAGGAGGAGGAGGATAATTAGAACCAGGAACTTCACACAGTGACCCATTCAAAAAACTAAGCGATCGCTGCAGGGGCGAGCCCGCTGCTTCAGGACATGTCCTGTGCCTTTTTCTTTAGGGCCCGAACTCGACGTGCATCCGCTGCCCACCGACGTGTACCACCTCATGCATTCACGCCCTTCCCGAAAACATCGTGAACCTCTCACGCGTCCTCCCTCTTTGCCCCTCTCGACCGCATCTCGCACTGCATGCAGCAATGACAAGGGCGTGCGTACTTTGGCTAAACGGATCCCCCCCCGAAAGCATGCGCTCATCAAACCACGCCGAAACTTTGCTCCCCATGCTTGTCGTCCTCCTCCCTCCTCCTCCTCCTCCTCCTCCTCCTCCTCCTCCTCCTCCTCCATCTCGCCCCGTGGTGGCTACGTGGCCATCACACCCTCGATGGCAAACCGCCTTAATGCTGGGCCATTGTGCCCTGCGCCTTGAGGGAGGGTGAGTTGTTTCTTCTTCCTTTTCCATTGTCAAGAGTTGGTCGCCGAGGCCATGCCCAGTCGTGCCAGCGCTTGAGCTCCGTCCATGCCAAGGATTTTCACCTGTCGGTTGGTGAGTGGTGGTGCATCTTGGGACGGGCCAGCCGCCTGCGCGGCGAGCATGGTGCGCCACCTCAGCCCCCCAGCCAGCTCCGAGGAGGAGGAGTGATGATGACGATGACGATGATGATGATGAGGAGGAGGAGGAGGAGGTGCGACGTGGATCGCAACGCCCCCGCCATCATCGCCACGACAGCGTTTCCTGTTCAAGCAGGCTCGCCCCTCAGGTTTTTTTTTGGGGTGGGCACGTTCTGCTCCTGGCTGGCAGCGAAGGTTGAGTTTCTCAGGGCTGTCAACCAGCGGCGAGCATGGTTGGCCACCTCAGCCTTCCAGCCAGCTCCGAGGAGGAGGAGGAGTGATGATGATGATGATGATGATGATGAGAAGTAGGATGTGCGACGTGGATCGCAACGCCCCCGTCAGCATCGCAACGACAGCGTTTCCTGTTCAAGCGGGCTCGCCCCTCAGGTTTTTTTTGGGTGGGCACGTTCTGCTCCTGGCTGGCAGCGAAGGTTGAGTTTCTCAGGGCTGTCAACCAGCGGCGAGCATGGTTGGCCACCTCAGCCTTCCAGCCAGCTCCGGGGAGGAGGAGGAGTGATGATGATGATGATGATGATGAGAAGTAGGATGTGCGACGTGGATCGCAACGCCCCCGTCAGCATCGCCACGACAGCGTTTCCTGTTCAAGCGGGCTCGCCCCTCAGGTTTTGTTTTTTTTGCAGCGTTCTGCTCCTGGCTGGCAGCGATGGCTGAGTTTCTCAGGGCTGTCAGCCAGACGGTCGACTTCATCCAGACTGCCGCGCAGGCTGGGTCTCTCGTCGGTGACGCCTTGCAGGTCAGGCTCGCGAACGAGAAAGACAACCTCATCAACGCGTTGAGGCAGGCGGGCGCCTTGACGCTTGCCGAAGCGACCCAGGCCCGCCAGGGGCGAGGGTGGGCGGCGGAGGAGGAGGAGGAGGATAAGGAGGAGGCGGAGGAGGAAGAGGAGGAGGAGGAGCAGGGGGAAAGAGGAGGAGGAGGAGGAGAAGGAGGAGGAGAAGGTGAACGTGTGATGATGTTGAGGAGGAAGGAGGCGCGCGGCCGAGAGCAGGCCATCAACGCCATCCAGCAGGCCCCGTGGAACCACGCCTCTCGCCAGGAGCTCTCCGCATCTATCATTGCCGCTGCGACCAGCCCACATGCAGCGACAGCAACTGCGACTCGCGGCAGCAACACGGGCGCCGAGGCCATGAACATTCATCGGTTCTTGACGCCCTCGCTCTGGGATGTCTTGACTGGCTTCGCGCCTAAGTCATACCACGAGAAGCTCCAGTCGCTCGGCATCCACTTGGAACGCTTGGGACTGACGAACCTCAAGGAGACCACGAGCGTTCGCGTCGCGGCGCTGATTCTGCTGGCTGGCAACCCACAGAGCTCCACGTTCAGCATCAACGCCAGCGACGCCTACACGGTGCTGAACGACGTCAAGGTTCGAAAGGGGCCTCGCTATGCGAACGGTGGCACGTTCTTATTTATATTCCTCCGCGCTCCTCCGCCTCCTCCCCCTCCTCCTCCTCATCCAACGCAGCATCCCCATCCTCATCACTCCCATTCCTCATCATCTTCCTTATCCTCCCCCTCCTCCTCCTCATCCATCCTCCTCCACCTCCCGCCCTCGCCCCCTCATCCCCACCTCGTCTCTCGTCCACCCTCGCGCCCCCCTCCCTGCGCTGGCGGGGGCAATGGGGAGGGGGGGAACAAGGCGTCTCAGGAAACTGAGGTCGCTTAGCAACCACCTTTGGATGCCCCCAGCTCGCACCCCCAATATTCGCCCTCTCATCTTCCCCCCGCGAGCGCCCGTTCGCAAAGTGCAGCCCTGCTCGCATAAGGCAGTGCTGAAGGAGATCAGGCAGCGCGGAAGGCAACCGCATCCTACTCAACCGCCCCCTCCGCGTCCTCACTCGTGACCCTCCTCGCCGATAGCCCCTCACCCGCATCATCTCGCCAGGGGGAGTTGGTCTCTCGAGCGAGCTCCACCAGAGAGTTCGCAAGCGAGTCTCGGGGTCCGCATGGGCACCGAAATTCGTGACATTTTCGTTGCGTCCTGAATTGTGGATGCAGGTGGTGGCACCGAGATTCGTGACATTTTCGGGAACCCACTGTGTTGGCTGAAGCCTGGTCCGCCTCCTCGGCGCGTGTCTTATCTTAGCATCGCCCCCCTCGTCCTCACGATCCTCAGCCACATCCTCCTCCTCCTCCTCCTCCTCCTTCTTCTCCTCCTCCTCCTCCTCCTCCCCCTTCCTGCACCTCCTTCTCATCCGACGCTTCCTACCTGCCCTCCCCCTCCCCCATCGTCCTCCTCCCTGCGCGTCGCGGGCACCCCCGTGGTTAAGGCCTGCCCATGGGTTAAGGCCTGCCCTTGGGTTAGCGTTGCAAGGAAAACGTTGGTGGGGACGCTCTGAATACCTCACATCGCCCACCTCCCCCCCCCTCCTGCTCTCCACCCCCACCCCATCATCAACCCCAGCCGCACCAACCTAAAAAAACACCCACGACACACACACACACGCACACACAATAACTCTCTCCCACACACATACACACACACATACATACATACATACATACATACATACATACATACATGCATGCATACATACATGCATGCATACATGCATACATATATACATACATACATACATACATACATACATACACACATACATACATACATACAGACAGACATACATACATACATACATACATACATACATGCATACATGCATGCATGCATGCATGCATGCATACATACATACATACACACACCACACACACACCCTCCTCCCCCGTCCACCCTCCCCCCCATCCCCGCGCCGATGGGGCCATGCATGCTGATCCTGCTCCATCTGCTGCTCGGCATTATCATCGTCCCCCTCTCCACCCTTCCCGTCCTCCTCCGTTAGATTCCTCCTCCTCCTCCTCCGCCTCATCTCCCCCCTCCTGCAGCTGGTGTTCCTCTTCCTCCTCCTCCTCTCCTTCCCCCTCCTCCTCCGTTTCTTCTTCCTCCTCCTCTTCCTCCCCCATCCCCTTCGTCGCGCAGGTTGGAAGGCAATGGTGTTTAGATCAACGGCCCCTTCCCCCCCGCGCGTGCTCAGATTTCCAGGCGGGGGTTAGTCAGGACGTTTGGGCGCGCCATGCAATGTGCACCCCTGCAGGCTCCCGCACCGCGGGGTCATCGCGAAGCTGCCCCCGTCGCCGCAGGCCCTCTTGGCATCCAGCCCAGACATTTACAGGCACGCCTTCGCCGCTGAGGAGCCAGCCCCTTGCCCGCTGGACGAGGCCACGTTGATCCAAACAGCTGCCGCTTGACCCGCCTGGCCCTCTACCCCAGACCCCCCTCCCCCCTGCCCCTCACCCCGTGGCGGGGCACGGCGGGGGGGGGAGGGGTCGAGGAGGATGCGCGGCGGGGAAGGGGAGGGGGAGGAGGAGGAGGAGGAGGAAGAGGAGGAGAAGTAGGAGGAGAAGTAGGAGGAGGAGGAGGAGGAAACGGAGGACGAGGAGGAGGATGTGGAGCATCGGGGGGATGGGCGAATACAAGGGTAGCATCAAGTTCGGCATTGCGCCAGTGGCGCCACCGCGGTGGCATGCGGTTTGCGTTGGCGGCGCGCCTTCCTGCTCGGAAGACTCACACGTCGCTGCAGGTCCAGCATAATCCAGTTCGCAGGGCAGGCTCTGGCAACTCGCTGTGTGCAGGTGGCCAAGTCGACCCCCCAGGGTTCGTGATGCTGAGGCCGCCAATGAGGTCCCAGCCGCTCGCGTTGCTGGACGACGCCGCGCGCAGCTCGGTGGTGCCGCAGCCCGCGGGTGCGCCCTCGGCGCCGCCGCTCGCCGTGCCGCCGCCCGCGGATGCGCCCTCGGCGGCGCTGCTCGCCTTGCCTCCGCCAGCGGCGGTGCCACGGGCAGCCAGCCCAACGCCGCTGCCAGCGCTGATGCAGCCCGCGATCCCTGTGGCGGCTGTGCAGCGGCAACAGATCGTGAGCACCGACGACGGCTTCCGCCTCGACTCGGGCTCGAGCCTCGCGGTGTGGCAGCTGTCCAGTCAGGCGTCGTCGGCGGCGGCGGGTGCTGGCGCGAGCGACGCCAGCATGGGCGCTTGGCGCATGGACTCCGTCGGGGAGGTGGCTGAGGGCGACGCTGCGCCTGAGGTCGGCACCAAGGCGGCGGCGACGGCGCCTTCGACTACGGACATGCTCAGCCACATGCGCTCCGTGCTCGCCCAGAAGCCAGAGTACACGCCCGATGAGATTGCGGCGAGGCGGAACGCCAATGGGGAAGAAGCGCACGGCCAAGGCCAAGGCCAAGGCCAAGGCCAAGGCCAAGACGATCGACAAGACGACAGCGACGCCCAAGAAGAACAAGACCGACGGCGAGGCAGCGTCGCCTGTCCTCAAGCGGCCAGCCGCCTCGACGCGCACGCCGTTCAAGAAGGTCAGGCTGACGTGCAAGACTCAGTCGGAGCTGACCCCGACGCCCGTCACCAAGGAGAAGAAGGCTGCGTGGGAGGTTGCTCTAGGTGGCTTCCCTGGCAAGCCGACGTCCAAGGTGCCGACGATCAACGTCCCGAGCCTTGGCATCAAGGTCTACACGGACTTGGCGAAGATGGCCTGGCGCGTGCAGCGCCCGTCGGTGAGCCTGACCGACAAGGCCTTCAGCTTCCGCGTGGACGCCGTGGCGTCGTGGCTGCGCCTGCGGCAGCACCTGCAGGCCGTCGCCCAGGGCTGCGAGGAGGCGTGAGAACGCCAGTGCCGACGAGGAGGAGGATACGGAGGAGGATAAGGAGGAGGAGGGGGAGGAGGAGGAGGAGGAGGAGGAGGAGGAGGATGTGGACGTGGATGAGGATGGTGATTATGATGAGGAGGAGGATGAGGAAAACGATGGTACTGAGGAGGGGGAGGTGGAGAGCCAAGTGAGGATGAGGGAACAGGCGTATCAGGAGAAGGGTGAGGGAGGATCAGACGGAAGAGGGATACATGATACTGGCGAGGAAGATCACGAGAAGGACGATGGGGATGATGAGGGTGAGGATGACGATGAGGACAAGGAGGATGCGGATGAGGAGAAGATGTTAAGGAAGATGGGGAGGATGATGCTGCGGAGGAGGAGGAAGGATCACGATCAGGACGAGAGGGGATGGGCAAGGGGACGGGGGGGAGGAGGAGGAGGAGAAGGAGGAGGAGGAAGAGGATGAGGGGTAGGAGGAAGATGACGAGGAGGAGGAGGACGAACATGAGGATGTGTACACGCAGAAGGGCGCCCGCGGGTGTGCAGACCGCCCTGACCCAATCGGGGACCTTGGGCTTGGCGGTGGCAAATGAATGTCATTTCTCTCTCTCTCTCTCTCTCTCTCTCTCTCTCTCTCTCTCTCTCTCTCTCTCTCTCTCTCTCTCTCTCTCTCTCTCTCTCTCTCTCTCTCTCTCTCTCTCTCTCTCTCTCTCTCTCTCTCTCTCTCTTTCTCTCTCTCCCTCCCTCTCGCACCCCTCACAATCAGCGCTTGCCGACGGCTCGCCGACTGCTCCCCAAATCAGTGCTTGCCGACGGCTCGCCGCGGCAGGCGGGGGGCCTCCTCCTCGTCCTCCAGCCGCAAGAGGCTCCCGATATACTCCCAGGAGCCCCTCCCCCTCCGTCGTCGTCGTCGTCGCCGCCGCCGTCGTCGCCGTTCCCCTCCAGGGTCGGCGGCGCCGTTCGGACTGTCAGGGGCCCAACTCCAACCGTTTTGAGCACTACAGGGTGGGCTCGCGGAGAGTAACGAAAACAATGAAATTCAGTGTGTTGTTTTCATAGTGTTTGCTTGGCCTGCCCAGGAGATGGAAGCCGAGTGGGCCCGAAAGTGACGCGACCATTTCTATCAGAAAATGGTCGCATTACTTTCGGGCCCGAGGGGCTTCGAACTGCTCCTATTCCTCCTCCTCCTCCTCCTCCTCCTCCTCCTCCTCCTCCTCCTCCTCCTCCTCCTCCTCCCCCCCCTCCCTCCTCCCCCTATCACTCCTTCCTCCTCCCCCCTCATCCCTCCTCCGTCCCGCCCTTCGCTTTCCCTCTTCCCCTCATACACCTACTCTTCCTCGTACTTCACCTACTTCGTCTTATCCTCTTCCTCTTCCTCCTCCTCCTCCTCCTCCTCCTCCTCTACCTCCTCCTCCTCATCATCCTTTTCCTCCTCCTCATTCTCCTCCTCTTCCTCCTCCTCCTCCTCCCCCTTCTCCTCCTCCTCCTCCTCCTCCTCCCAGCCCCTCCTCCTCTTTTTCCTCCTCCTCCTTCTCCCTCTCCGCCTCCCGCCTCCCTCTGTCCGCCTCTGGTGGGCCCTTTCTTGCCCTTTGCCTCCTGTCGCTCCCCTGCAGTCTCGGGCTCAAGCTTTCGGTATGCTACCTCCCAAGGCGTCAGACCCTCACGTTATCTTTCAGGGGAAGCTTTGCAGGTCTAAACGCCAAGTCTGCTTCCTGTCCAAACAAGACCTTGAAGCACTCTCATACTGCTCTACGCTGCTATTCCAAAGGGCGGTCAAGTTGCCTGCTCGGTTCCTTATACCTTCGGACCTTGGTGGTCCACATCTCACATATGACTGGTGCAAAATTCCGCTCTTCAAAGCTTGTCGGGACAGCGGCTTTGATAGACTGTATGTAAACGTTAGGGGACCTGGCGAAAGGGTCCGGAGAATCCCTTGGAAAGAACTGGCTGTTGGTCAGTAGCCGTTTCGCCTCGAACCCTGACGGAACTCTTGTCCAAAACGGCTGGGAACATCCATATACAATTCAGGGGATGGTCAAACGCAGCCTCCCAGCCAAGCTAGCAGCCAGGAAGCGTCTCAAGTGGACTCACGGCTCAGGCGGAATGTGGAACTACTGTGAAGAGGAAAAGGTCTTCACCAAAGTCTGGTACACGGAGTGCTATGATACGTGGTTTGACCCTGAATCTGGCTGGCCCCACCCAGTGGTTTGGCACCTGTCTGACTACTGGTGGGACGGAGACTTCTTTGTAGAAAAGTGGCGTTGGAAGTATCCGTGAAGACCTCTCCTGGGACTCCCACAGTCTGAACCTCTTGGCATCTGCGGTGCATGGGCCTGCGGCTTTGGAGGTCTCTCAGTTCTCCTTCAATCTCCTTTGCATGTTCCTCAACGTCGGTAGTTGGCAAAATACAAACCCTAAACATTCACAGCCCTCTCGCGTCATACATGTTTGAATTCAACTACCTCATATGCCTTGATTCACCTGGGGTGGGTTCTCACGGTTGGGCTCACTCGGCTTTACAGTTCCCTTTGTATGCCTCCGTATCTTCTGGGTCATTGCGTGCTTGAGACATTCAGTTTAATGTCAGGCTTTCTTTCTTTCACCACATTTATTCGAATGGGTTGCCACTTATGTATATTGGGCTTCAAGGGACTCAAAGAAAGTTCTCTTCACTTCTTAATCACTTCTGGTCGTGGGAACATATGCCCCCAAGTTCGGCGTCAAGAGTTATTCAAGTTACTCGAGTTACTCAAGTCACTCAAGATATTTTGATCAATTTAAGCATAATCCATCACCTTGCATTACGTTTCTCATTGCTCGCACCTTTATTCAAAGCGAGAGGGTCCTGGTGGTGGTTTTCATTCATTCAGTATCATGGGTTCATTTCAGGATGGGTTTCAACCATTCACGATTTCTTTCAGTATCATGGGTTTCAATCATGATTTCTTTCAGTATTGGACAGGCAGTCTCCATTCATGATGTCGTTTAGTATCTTGGGTTTCAATCCTGGGTTGGGATTCATCTTTGTTCTGCCCCTTCCTCTCCCGCTTCTTGCCCGCCTTCCCTCTTTCTCTACCGTGCGCATTTGGCGTATTGGTGGCTTCTCAGGTTTGTGTATTGGGAGAACCGACCTTTCAAGGCGCGTCATCATCATCATCATCATCCTCCTTCTCCTCCTCCTCCTCCTCCTCCTCCTCCTCCTGCCTCCTCCTCCTCTTCCTCTTTCTCCTTCTCCTTCTCCTCCTCCTCCTCCTCCTCCTCCTCCTCCTGCCTCCTCCTCCTCTTCCTCTTCCTCCTTCTCCTCCTCCTCCTCCTCCTCCTCCTCCTTCTCCCCCCCCCTCCTCCCCCCAGTCCTCCCTCCTGCCTCCTCCCTCCTCCCTCCTCCTCCACCTCCTCCCCCTCTTCCTCCTCCTAGTTTGCCTCCTCCCCCCTCCTGGCGCGGATCGACTTACAGAAGTTATCTTGATAGTTAGGTCGACTTACACAAGTGGTTATAATTATTATGGTAACAATTGTACATGGTTAACACACAACCCATTCTAAGCCAACTCATAAGTGATCTAGAACGCACCGCCCGCGAAGTGGGAACCATCCCGGAGGAGGCCCCAGTGCTGGACGGCCCGGAGTGGGAGGTCCTCCCGGACCAGCTCTAGAACGCCTAGGGGCCCGAGGGAGGCGACAGGCCTCTCGCGAGAAGGGCCCGAGTTTCAGCCTCTCTGCATGCTTCGCTCAGTGCGGCTGCGAGACGTCCGATCCTCACAGCACTTCTGGCCCTCGAGGGGCATCTCAGACACAGGGCGCCCCTCGTCCTCCTTCCTTTCCACTCAATTCATTACGGGGCCCGAAAAGACCGAAGCAGACTTGGGACGATCTGGGGCCCGAGTGGCTGGACGGGGACGTCACCAATGACGACCGCGAGGTGGCTTGCGGAGCCTCGGTCCGGAAAGCTCTCGGCGAGTGCGCTGCCATGTTTGGGTTCGGGGGGGCGGGGGTGAGTCAGCAGCTAGAGCTCGACGAAAGCTACCCCACCCGCCGGAGAGCTAAGGTCTCCTTCTCCGAAGTGTTCTCTCCTCCTAGGATTGCTCCTGAGGTGGCCAAGGCGGGGGCCCCTCTCGGAGCTCGGGCCAGTTGGGACCTTCGCCAGGGATGGGATTCGTCTCGAAGGTCTGACGTCAGAGAGCTCTGGAGGCACCTCGAGGAAGACGAGCCAGAGACCGTTTGGCTGTGTCCTGAATGTAGGGCGTTCTCTGCGATCAATCGCATCAATCGGGATAGGATGGACACCGTGGAGTGGCAGAGGATCGTGACTGATGGCGTTCGGGATCTTGTGCTCTGCATGGAGATCGCGGAGCACCAAGTCAACCAAGGCAGATACTTCGCGTTCGAGCATCCTCTCTACGCGTCGTCTTGGGGCTCGTTCGTCGTTCGCTGTGTCTCGTCGCTCCCGGGGGTTAGGCGGATCCGTGTCGATATGTGTAGCTTCGGGATGCAGGTGGACAGTCGAGGACTGAACAAGAAGCCTACTGGACTACTGTCCAACCATCCACTTCTCCTCCAGCGTTTGGAGAGGCATCTCTGCACCGGGGGACATCAGCATGCTGTCCTCGAAGGGGGCTCGATAACCACCAAGGCGAGTCGCTATCCTCTCCAGTTTTCCCGAGCCGTGGCCAGGGCCGTGGCTGAGCACTGGGCGGGGGCTCCCATTCGGAGCAAGGCAGCTTGGGCCGACCTCGTCGAGCACGACTACCCGGAAGGGGAGGCCGGGCCTGCGGAGGGGGAGAGCGAGGTCGTCTCGAGCGAGAGCGAGGACGAGCCAGAGACTCGACCGACGTCGAAAGGAGGCAAGACCACTTTCGAGGAGATCGAACCTAGTGAAGACGAGAAGAGATTCATATACAAGCTCCATGTGAACATGGGGCACCCCGAGGTCAGAAAGTTTGCGAGGGTGCTCAGGGCTGGAGGGGCGAAGCGCCGACTCGTGCGCTGGGCCCGTACCAAGTTCCATT